CGGCAACTGCACTCAACTGCAGCCACGGTGTATACACACTGCACATCAACATTGCATCCGTTGGCCCTGTGTTCTCTTGGCTGTCCTACAATCATACTCTCTGGCTGATGATGTTTACCGTTTCTAGTTCTCTGGAACCGGCTCCTTGACTCTGTGTTGTGCTTCTTGTGGTACATTATGTATTGGGTTTGTTGGTGTTAGGATGGCTGTGCAGTGTGTGCAAGATGTGCTTAGTCAGCATGATTTCAATGTTTGATCTCGACAGTGTCAATACAAGGCTCTTAACACAGTGTGCATTTGTCAATATCACAACTAGGCAAAACAAATACCTAATTTGTCGGATTCGCTCAGTCTGTACATTGTGCAATTTGTCACAAGCAGATGTGTTAGATTTGTTTATTAAATGCTACTCAACAGAAGATAAACATCCCTGTTTGTTTTTCATGATACTATTCTTAACGTCATGCCATGTCTTCTTTGTGTAGTATATATGGGTTGGTTGGGTAGCCGAGTGGTTAAAGCATTCGGTCGTCATGCCGAAGACCTGGGTTTGATTCCCCACATGGGTACAATGTGAGAAGCCAATTTTTGGTGTCCCCCTCCTTGATATTGCTGGAATATTGCTAAAAGCGGCATAAACCTATACTCACTCGTGTAGTATATTAGGGTTAATGGTCAAGATAAATCAGTTATATGGACACTTGGCAAAACTCCAAGCATCCTTGCTTTTATGTACTCAATAAAACATTGATAGCTAGGATATAGAAAAATATCTTTTATAAATGAATTAATTTTAGGACAGAGTTGCCAGTGAGAATGTAGCAGGTGTGTTGTATTTCAATCTTCTTTTCGTTCATTCAGTCCACAACGAAAACATCTGAATTTCAGATACATCACATGACTAATTAGATAAAAAGGTTTTGTTGAAATGGGTTCAATCTTAAATATCATTTGGTCCATTTTACACATTCCTATGAGATGAAACCTCACCAAGATGAAGAATCACCGAGATCCAGCTCACCTTCCAGTGTAATGTTGTGACCTTGCTGTGCTGACCAAATGTATATCAGCTGTAGATGAAACAGATCTCCAGTCTGTTGTCAATATCGCAGGCTCCAGTGTGAGGATGACCTATTACTACTGCTTCCTCTAATAGACAGCTCATATATTGCACACAGGTGGAATACCAGGGGGAACAGTCTGGCATGGCACTCCAGGCAGCTTCATGGTGCTAGTTTAGCACCTTGTGTAGGTGGAGGAAGGTATTGTGGGAACAAAGATCAAATAGGACATATTAAGAAAAAGAAATAATTTCAGCTTCAGGGTGTTATTTGTCTCATGCAGCAATTGTTTAACGCTGCACTCAGCAATATTCCAGCTATATGGCAGTCAGCTGTAAATAATCCAGTCTGGCCCAGACAATCCAGTGATCAATATCATGAGCATCAATCTTCTCAGGATATGATGACCTGTGTCAACTAAGTTAAACCTGTCCAACCAATCCCATTTAGTCACCTCTTTCGACAAGCATGGGTTGCTGAAGACCAATTCTAACCTTGGTCCATTTGCACTGATGCAAGGGCTGAGTATTAGATTCCATCTATCCTTCTGGGAATGGATGTCATCCCATAATTGTTACAATTAAGATGATTATGGAACTTACTCATGAAGTGGGTTCAAATCTGTTACCAAGGTGTTTCGGGATATTGACAGTTCTCAGTTGACAGTGGGGTACTTATTTTCAAAGTCACTGAAAGCATTTGACCAATTTGTTGTTTGTTAGTAAGATATCTCCAAAACCTCTGCACAGATTTGGTTGAAATTTGGTGCCAGGCACCTGTTGTTCTAGTGACAGTGTGTTCATATTTCAAAGTCACGAGAGGCATTTGACCAATGTGTTTGTTTGAAAGATGTCTCTGAACAGAAGTTTTTACCTTTAAGTTCCATGACAGTAAAATATCTCAAGATACACTTCAGAGTTTATGGTCCTGTAAGATGAGAATGACAGTACATACCCCATTTAGATGGAAAAAGACACATAACTGGAGATGCTAGGAGTGCGTGAGTGAGTATAGTTTTACGCCGCTTTTAGCAATGTTCCAGCAGTATCATGGAGGGAACACAAGAAATGGGCTTCACACATTCTACCCATGTGGGGAATCAAACCCGGCTTTTGGAGTGACGAGCGAATGCTTTAACCAATAGGCTACCACACCGCCCCAGAGATGCTAGGAGACTGAAGATGCTGAAAGATGCTAGGAGACAAATAATGCTTAAAGATGCTAGGAGACAAATAATGCTTAAAGATGCTAGGAGACAAATAATGCTGAAAGATGCTAGAAGACAAATAATGCTTAAAGATGCTAGGAGACAAATAATGCTTAAAGATGCTAGGAGACAAATAATGCTGAAAGATGCTAGAAGACAAATAATGCTGAAAGATGCTAGGAGACAAATAATGCTGAAAGATGCTAGGAGACAAATAATGCTTAAAGATGCTAGGAGACAAATAATGCTGAAAGATGCTAGGAGACAAATAATGCTTAAAGAAAAAGATGCTAGGAGACAAATAATGCTGAAAGATGCTAGGAGACAAATAATGATGAAAGATGCTAGGAGACAAATAATGATGAAAGATGCTAGGAGACAAATAATGCTTAAAGATGCTAGGAGACAAATAATGCTGAAAGATGCTAGGAGACAAATAATGCTTAAAGATGCTAGGAGACAAATAATGATGATGAAAGATGCTAGGAGACAAATAATGATGAAAGATGCTAGGAGACAAATAATGCTTAAAGATGCTAGGAGACAAATAATGATGAAATACAAGTTCAAGAAAGTATGTTCCAAAACTTTGGGCACCAACTGACATAGGTAAAAGACAGTTGGTGTCGTTTGAAACAATTCCTTTTCATCGATCACAGGGATGATTATAAGCATGGCAGTCTGAAGGTTGTTTGGTCACATGGTTCTGTCACTTCAAGGTGTTGAAGTTAAGTCTCCCAACATAAATTACTAGAAATACCATCCAAATGGGGAAAAAAAATCAGATATGGACCTGAAGAATACATTCTTTGTCAGATCAATAAGTGTTATTGATTTCACGAAAGATCTGTATTTGTTTTAGTGTACAATTAATAAGGTCACAATCAATACTTCAAACTTACATGGATTAACAGCTAGGAACATCTTTGTGTAGTAAGGAATGTCTGGCTAATCAGGCCCACTTGCGCAGACAGCCTTAGTTCCTGTCAATCCAACAGGATTACAATCAACTTAACAATCACAATACCTAAGTCTTATTCGACTGGCACAAACCGATTTACCATGACTGAAAGACAGCTTGATTTATTTTTTACCTCTGTCTGTGATAAGAATGAAATTTTCAACAGTGCAGATATAAATGTCTTACACTTGACTCCTCTCTACAAATGTCTGCAAAACAAAGAGATCACTAAGCATATGAACAGTGGAAATGGTTACAATATGCTACATGTGCCTCTCATCGCATCTTGCATCTTATTTAAGCAAAGGTCTTTATGCATTAATGGAAACAACTGCTGGGTGGCACGAATAAGCTGGATGCAGGGATTTCATCCCAAAACATGTTTTTGTATGAAAAATATTGAAAAAAGTATTTTTGCCTCAGACTGTTACATAAAAAAAGAGATTGCCTACCTCAATAATTACATTTTGCAACTTATTTTTCATAAACATATTCAGGCTCACATGTTTCATTCATTGAAATCTTGTTTGGCAACTGTAGCTGAAACAATATTTAATCTCCATATAAAATTCAAGGTTCTCCTGAGGGGCAGTGTGGTAGCCTAAGGGTTAAAGCATTTTCTCATCATGCTGAAGACCCGGGTTCAATTCCTCACATGGGTACAATGTGTGAAACCCATTTCTGGTGTCCCCTGCCGTGATGTTGCTGGAATATTGCTGAAAGCGGCGTAACACCATACTCAATCACTCACTCAAGATCCTCCTGGTCGGGGCGGTGGGGTAGTCTAGTGGTTAAAGCGTTGACTCGTCACGCCGAGCCGAAGACCCGGGTTCGAATCCCCACATGGGCACAATGAGTGAAGCCCATTTCTGGTGTCCCCCGCCGTGATATTGCTGGAATATTGCTAAAAGTGGGGTAAAACCAAACTCAGTCAGTCAGTCCTCCTGGTCATTCACATATGCAAACACTTTTCTGGTTGTGTGTCGGAAGAGCTGTTGGTGATATAACTATCATTGTGTGACGATACTGGTAGCAATTTGGTATGTACCATGGTATGTACTTTTATTATCAAAATCTTCAGATGATACCATTCATTATAATATTTCTGCTGGTGTGACACTCTGGATGATATCATTGTGTTGTAGAGGGTTGGTATGTACAATGGTATGTACTTTTCTATCTGGATGGTGCCATGCATTATGATATTTGTGCTGGTGTGACACTGCATTATGATATTTATGTGTTGTAGAGGGTGCAATGGTATGTACTTTTTATCTGGATGGTGCCATGCATTATGATATTTATCATGTGTGTGGATGTAGTGTTGTAGAGGGTTGGTAGGTACTTTTATCTGGATGTTGGTATGTACAATGGTATGTACTTTTGTACATCTGGATGGTGCCATGCATTATGATGCGATTTATACTGGTGTGACACTCTGGATGATATCATTGTGTTGTAGAGGGTTGGTATGTACAATGGTATGTACTTTTTTATCTGGATGGTGCCATGCATTATGATATTTATACTGGTGCGACACTCTGGATGACATCAATGTGTTGTAGAGGGTTGGTATGTACAATGGTATGTACTTTTTTATCTGGATGGTGCCATGCATTATGATATTTATACTGGTGCGACACTCTGGATGACATCAATGTGTTGTAGAGGGTTGGTATGTACAATGGTATGTACTTTTTTATCTGGATGGTGCCATGCATTATGATATTTATACTGGTGTGACACTCTGGATGACATCAATGTGTTGTAGATGCTGGCCGCAATGCTGTAGATGAAGCCGATGCCATGAAGCAGCTGCTGGACCTCCTGAGGACTCAGCTGAAGAACGATGCAGAAGGCGCCGACCGACTCAGGACCATTGCATGCGGATTCCTACTCAACCTCACCAATACTCACGGTAAGACATTGGTAGCGCAGCACAGAAACCGATAACCTGTTTGCAGTAATTATAGTTTATTGACAGACATTAGTACTTCAACAAGGAAACCAATAACCCATTTGTGGCTATTATTGTCTACGGGTGAACATAAAAAGGTCATGGAAGAAGCCGTTATCCAAACCTATACGAATTATTGTTGCAATGTAAAACTGGTCAGGCTCACTGACATAGTTGGTGTCCCATCTGTGTTGACTGATGCTCATGCTGTTGATCACTGATTTGATTATTTATGGACCACCACCATATAGCTGTAATATTGCTGAGTGCAGCGTAAAAGAACAAAGAAACAAATCACATGTATCTGTAACATGTGGTCTCTGAAGATCTGAATATATATGCTGATATCAACTATTTTTTGTCTTCATTGACATCATAAGCTGAGGAGATGTAACAAGGTGAGCTACAGTGCTCTTTCCTTACAAGGTCCAACCAGGTGGAACCGCCTCCGTGGTGTAGTGGTTAGAGCATCCGCCCGGAGAGCGGAAGGTCGCAGGTTTGATCCCCGACCTCGTCATACCAAAAGACGTTAAAATATGGTACTTGTTGGTCCCTGCCTGGCGCTCGGCATTAATGGGTACAACAAGGACTGGTCGGCTCGGAGTCAGTATAATGTGTCTGAGTGGGGTATTCATGCTTCACTGCGGCATGGTATCTCAGTGATCTAGCACTATAAAACCAGCTTCAGTCTGGGCTAGTACAAGCAGCCGCATACAAGCAGCCCCAGTTTGCCTGAAACTGTCTCACAACAATGTAATGTTTACATACAATAAAACTCATAACAACAGTATGAGGAAATAATGTGAGCAAAATATTCTCAAACAAAAGTAAATCAAATAAAGTGAAATTAAGATTGAAAATCGTTAAACCCCAATTTCACCTCACCTCACCTTCACCTGGTAGTAGTTGGAACAGTGAAACAAATGCACGTCGCGTACGTGATGAGCATTAACTTAGACCAACCATACTTGTTCATCTAATGTTTCATAACCCCTTATAATACAAACTAATAATAGCAGTTTGAAACCATGATCGTTTGTTAAACAACTTTTATCCTAAGTTGAATAAAATTCTGAAATTTAAAGGTTCATTTGGCAAGGTAAAATTATGAGGATTCGCAATCTTACTTTCACTTTATTCGATTTACTTTTTTGTTTAAAGTGAAATTCATCAGTACGCTTTCACTGCAAACAGACTATAGCCTTGCTCCAAGGCTGTACCAAATGCTAAACCCATGTATTTATAGTAATTCTACCCTTTAAAGGGGCAAGTCTATATAAGCGACGGTCTATTAGAAGGACAATGTGTTCTTATTATTTATATTTTTTTAAATTATCGTTTCAACTATTAATTATTACCCTAGAGCTAGACTTGTTCAGTATAGAAAGCACCAAGAGGACCAGGATAAGGACTTAGGTCAACATTGTAAAAGTGTCTTCATGAAGCCAGGATAGGTTGGAATTATCTAGTGTTTCTTACATCGCAGGATAGGGTAGCATTGATGGCACGTCCTGCTAGTAGCTGCTCTGGAATGTTCATCATGTACAGCCCTAACTAATAATCACTTTCCAGCCCCCTTCACTCCAACTTCTGGCAGGTTCCTGAATTAAACCCAACGGGCTTGTTTAGCGTCCCTCTTCAGGAGAATGGCAGCACAATTTATGTGTTTTCCTATAACACTCTTGCACGCAACTAGAACCAATTATTTCGAAAAGGCACAGGTTAAAAGGAAATGAATTTTCTGAAATCTAAAATAAATTCTGACATGAAACTACACCCACATGCTATGCCTGGAGCAGCTTCATGTCACAGTTACGTCTTTCTGTGAGATGTTTTTGTAATAAATTATGACATTTACCACAAAAGCTGTTATTATCGTTAGACGAGACTGCAGCCATTTTTGATGTAGTGTTTGCATTTGAAGGTAATGGCTGTTTTGTGTATTTAATGCATTTGACGCATATGGTGTCGGGTTGATTTGAGAACATTATTCCTGGGACGACTTTTGAAGTGTGTAATAGTCATGCAGACTGACTTGAGGTTTTCTGATGTTTTATGTTAAGATTATTTAACTCTTTTCAAAATAGATACATCTAGATTCTTTCCATTTTGTCATATATGTCTAATTAAAAAGAAGTAAGGTTTAAGATTTTTCACTTACTGGATCGATGCTCATGATCTTGATCACTGGATTGTCTGGTCCAGACTCAATTATTTCCAGACCGTGACATATAGCTGAATGTGCTAAGTGTGGCGTTAAGCAAAAAACAAACAAACAAAAAATTATATTGGAATGTGTGTTTGTATGTAGTGGGGTGGGTGGGGGTTGAGTAGGTGGGAGGAAGGGAGTAAGTAGGGAGATGAGTTAATGGGTATGCAGGGGAGAGCACTAAGGTGCTCTGTACCAAATTAAAATAAGAGGTAGCAAATCTACAGCAAGAGGACTTCAGACTTCAAAACACTGTTTATCTAATATACGACATGATGGATCATTCTGAGCCAGGATTGAGTGTAGTGTAATGTTCCAGTTACATTGTGTTGCTCTGTGGAGAAGCTGGCAAGCTCAATCAATTTGCTTGCAATTCAGCTTTTTCTTACACGCTGCAAACAAGTACCGGCAAATCTCAACTGTGAATGATCAGTAATGCTGTGCGATTTCCCCCAGGGTTACACACAGGAGGCAGCTGTCTGTAGAATATCGACATTTATGTTAAGACAGAGTAGCCAAAATATCATTCATGTTTTCACAATGTATCCACAAAATTCTTTTTGTTCAAATGAAGTGATTATTGTGGTATTTTTACATAATTCTTAGTTCTCTCAATAAGTTGTTCTTGTTTGGGTTTCGCTTCGGGGATAATACCTCTGGCATCAAACGGATTTGTTTAACCAGATAACAAAAAAACTAGAAATAAGCAGTGTACAAAGAACAGTTATTGCCGCAGAAGTAAGATATCTGTATGTCTATTAATGGCAACCAAAAGGACTCATATATACTCTTCTTTTATGTGACTATTGAATTATTCTTGACAGGAAATATGCTGCAGCAAGTTTTAAATAAGTTGCATGCCCCAGTACCAATCAGAAAAGGTAGGAAAAGGAGTATTTTGTGTTAATGACTGCTAGCACAGGCTATATAAAATATCCTATTCTGTGGTCTCCACTCATAGTTTTTCCCTACTGCCAAGCCCTCCCTGCAGTGCTAAAACCCTTAATGAAACTAGTCTAGATTTCCTCAGGTTCTGAATCCCATCTCACTTTTCACTTTTGCTCCTTTTCAATGTAAATGGGTTTATTTGTTACTTTCAAAATGATGTATATTCAGAGACTAAGTGTTGGTCTACTAGTACTGCAAGAGTTTGGCCCCGTGAAGAGCCTGGTACAACTGGTCTTCAGCAGCCCCTGCTTGTCGTAGGAGGCAACTAATAGAATCTATAGGTCAGACTTGCTGAGTTGGTTGACTTGCTGATTTGGTTGACTTGCTGATTTGGTTGACTTGGTTGACTTGCTGATTTGGTTGACTTGCTGATTTGGTTGACTTGCTGACTTGGTTAACTTGCTGAGTTGGTTGACTTGCTGAGTTGGTTGACTTGCTGAGTTGGTTGACTTGGTTGACTTGCTGAGTTGGTTGACTTGCTGAGTTGGTTGACTTGGTTGACTTGCTGAGTTGGTTGACTTGCTGAGTTGGTTGACTTGCTGATTTGGTTGACTTGCTGAGTTGGTTGACTTGCTGATTTGGTTGACTTGCTGATTTGGTTGACTTGGTTGACTTGCTGAGTTGGTTGACTTGCTGATTTGGTTGACTTGCTGAGTTGGTTGACTTGCTGAGTTGGTTGACTTGCTGATTTGGTTGACTTGGTTGACTTGCTGAGTTGGTTGACTTGCTGATTTGGTTGACTTGGTTGACTTGCTGAGTTGGTTGACTTGGTTGACTTGCTGAGTTGGTTGACTTGCTGAGTTGGTTGACTTGCTGATTTGGTTGACTTGGTTGACTTGCTGAGTTGGTTGACTTGGTTGACTTGCTGAGTTGGTTGACTTGGTTGACATGCTGAGTTGGTTGACTTGGTTGACTTGCTGAGTTGGTTGACTTGCTGAGTTGGTTGACTTGCTGATTTGGTTGACTTGGTTGACTTGCTGAGTTGGTTGACTTTCTGTTTTGGTTGACTTGCTGATTTGGTTGACTTGGTTGACTTGCTGAGTTGGTTGACTTGCTGAGTTGGTTGACTTGCTGATTTGGTTGACTTGCTGATTTGGTTGACTTGCTGATTTGGTTGACTTGGTTGACTTGCTGAGTTGGTTGACTTGCTGAGTTGGTTGACTTGCTGATTTGGTTGACTTGGTTGACTTGCTGAGTTGGTTGACTTGCTGATTTGGTTGACTTGCTGAGTTGGTTGACTTGCTGAGTTGGTTGACTTGCTGAGTTGGTTGACTTGCTGAGTTGGTTGACTTGCTGATTTGGTTGACTTGGTTGACTTGCTGAGTTGGTTGACTTGCTGATTTGGTTGACTTGCTGATTTGGTTGACTTGGTTGACTTGCTGAGTTGGTTGACTTGCTGAGTTGGTTGACTTGCTGAGTTGGTTGACTTGCTGATTTGGTTGACTTGCTGAGTTGGTTGACTTGCTGAGTTGGTTGACTTGCTGAGTTGGTTGACTTGGTTGACTTGCTGAGTTGGTTGACTTGCTGATTTGGTTGATGTATGTCATCATATCCCAATTACTTGGATACCTTTGATGTCAGTCAATGAAACTGTCTGCTCCAGACTATGGACTAAGCATCTTCATATAAGTCAATATCTTAAGTATGGTACAGATGCACAAGATATATATTTGTAAAGGGATCAGTATTATTTTTTTCTGATACTCGCTAAATGCATACAAAAATAAACAAACATTTTATCCATCGGAGTTGCATTGCATTGAACTTTGTGTAGTCCTCTTGTTTTAGTGCAGTGGAATTTATT